TCGGGCATAAAACTTGGTAAAATATATTTTTTACATATATTGCACCAAGTGTTTTACGTCCATTTTTTGGATGGATATATAGACAAAACAGAACAAAATTCAACCCAATTTTTATGAAAAATTCTAATGAAGTCTCAATTTTGTTTTGCAGACCCCTATTAATAAACTAACATTCCAAGTTTCAAAATTGTTATTTTGAAAAGGAACAATACCTTCCAATCAAACATTCGTATTTCGCATCAGGAATCGTGCTCAAATAATCATGAAAAATGGAAATCGTCTAGTATCTAGTACGAAGATTGGACTGTAAGAAAGAAAAACCTATATTAGAGCTCAGAAAATATTGAGATTCTCTGGATGAACATTTTCTGAATACATTCTCTGAATACATTTTCCTCAAACGATCTTCACGATTCTATTTACACGCACTCATGACCAAGACTATTTTTAAAACACAGACGTGACATGTCAACTTGAAACGTTTGATCACATTTTCTGTACGCTTTATTCGTAATTTTCTTCTAATGAAAGCACTCGACTGAATACACGAAATTAAAGCAGTCTAGGCCACTCTGCTCGACGAACCGAAACGAGCTCTTTTTCTTGCGCAATGATATTTTTCATTTTCATCAATTCACTCAATGAGAATTTCAAAAAAACCGGAAGTCCCACAAATAACATACATTTGTTAACCAAAATCGGAGGTTTTATGATGCAGGAAGCCAAGAAAAAAGGATGCGTTGAAGAATAAAATACCGAGATCTTTATGGAAGACCGTGGAACCGGTTAAAAATATAAATTCCCAGGCTTGACGATCGTATACCGTATTGGATATACAGTTAGTCTCACGTATAATACGAAGATGCTCTTTTTGAAGTGGCTATGAATATCATGACAGGATGACCAAACGTCAGATAGGATTTATCGATGACTTATCATGATCGATAAGACACCAGATAAATCCCAAGATAAGTCTACTTGCATTCGGACAACTGTAATCTTCAATTCAATTTGAAATTTAATTCCCTTCTCCCTCAATTTTCCTTTTTGCAATTGTTCCTTGCTCAACGAAGCTGTCACAATAGTGAAATTACTCCAATCACAAATGTAACTAACGAATGAACGAAGTGACCTGGATTCCCATGTCAACACAGAACTTTAAACTTCTTTTCTCCAAACAAAAAAAATTCAAATTCAATTAACTCACCAATTGCCTCGTGATTTTATCGTCTCGTGGATTGAATCTCCTCGCAGTTGATGAACCACTCTCCTCTACATTCGATTTATCTCCCTGATCGATGATCAGAAACCGCAAGGTGCAACACGCTATGTACGAGTATCCTCGCACGACTGTTTTCAAGAGCGTGGCAGAGGTAACTAAGTGCCTTGATTCGTTCTGTGGCTGTGTCTGAGGCCCCAAGGAAGAAGGAGCGAGGTGGACACAGCACTCAAAACAAGTGAGAGAAAGACTTTAAAACTTGTTACCTATACACCGAGAAATTGGATAGAGAAGGATGGATTAAGGTGGGACAGTAGTGGGGAATAGTTTGTACAACGTTGCCAAGTTTAGGCCTGGCCTCTTGAAAATGCAGGTTACGCGTACTAAACAAGTTGAGTGCGTACGATTTTTTTGTCTCGGTAACATCAGTGATTTATTCGCATCGAATTGTCACCGAATTCAATCATGCGAGCCGTTAAATTCGCCCATTTATTTCTTCTAGAACTGAAATAGAACAGAACGGCAGAGGAGAATTTCCACTTTTCGATTTGAATTGATTATTCCCGCGGTGATTTGTCTGCCGCTCTACGCGGTCAACTTGATATTGTTTAGTTCACTCAATTGATGCAAAATATCGACAAGTCACTGGGTGATTTTTTTAGGGCAAATAATCGTTCACTAAACCCGGAAACAACGGTTTCCGTCCTTTGCGCAACGAATTACAAATTACGCAAAGGAGGACAAGTGACTAGTTCTGAATCTCGGCCGTGTCGAATTGTACTCCTTTTGAGAGGTGACGATGACTCATCCGCGCGATTCCTCCATGTATTTCTACGCCTTCCGGCTACGGGTCATCGGTTAATCGTTGCGCTCTTCCGTGTCTGGGTCTTTGTTCCATGATCTTCAAACACGATCTATAAATAAATTGAATATTGAATATCGAATTAATGGCAGTTTCTCTTTTATTTTCTCCTTCCTCTTCTGCGGATTTTCTTTTTGTTTTGCTCATGTTCGTCTGCTCCCCAGGTCAGGCGGAATAGATTTTGCAAATAAAAAATGTATAATTTACTCACCACAATACCTGACTCAGGGTGAAAGTTTTCGAGGCGTCTCTTGTGGTCTGTACCAGAGTTTTACGAGGAGTTTATCTGGGTCGATTATTATTATGTATACACCACTTTTGTGAGAGGGATCGGGGAGTTTCCGGTTTTATCTTTGGAGTTGCGTGAATTTTGTCTTCTTTGTTTTTCTGATTTTTTTAACAAATAGGGAACCATGAAAATATAGTATTGGTCTAATTGTCCCCTGGAAAGAGGAGGATAAAATTACCTGTGAAATTTTTGTGCAATTATTGTTCTCTCCAGCCGCAGGGGATTTCATTGGAACATTACCATTTATGTCTTTACATTGGAGGATCATAAAAAGGGTCATAAAAGTGATTGATACAGTGGTGAGACTGGGAACAATCGTTAAAACAACGGATGATTCATCTTGGAAATGGGAAATAAATTAACAAAACATTATAATTGAGAAAATAAACGAATAAAAATGGCAGTAGTAAATCGAAATTACATGCAATGGGCTTTTCCCATAAAAAATGATGGAGATGACCGAACTCACGCAGAAAAAATACAGTAAAACTCATGCTACCCACATCAAGCGACTTTTTTCTGCTGAAAGGCAAAAGGAGCGATACAAATTGATGAGCAGAGGAATTCAGATTTTTTTTTTCGAATATTCGAGAATCGTTAGACTACTTGCGAGGCTGCGAATATTGAGAGTGGAAAGTCGACAAAAATCGGTGGCAAGTTTTTTTGTTAAGGGGAGACGACACTGTTGGAAAATTACTCCTGAAATTTCAAGTAAAAAATCTTGAAATTTTTAACAATCACTGATTCACACGAAATTTTCATGTATTTTGTTATTGAAAAATCAGTTGAATTCTGGAGTATTCAATGGAATTGCAATTTTGAAGTCCACATGATGATGAAAATTATTAAATAATTTGAAAATTCAAGCAACAATTTCCGTGAATTTTCAATTCACTGAAAATTCAGTTGGATGTGATGTTCAAGTTGCGCAAAGAATTTGAAAATTTTAGATGTTATTAACATATCAGTGATAATTTAACATGGGAACCTGAATGAGAGATTCCATGAGCGACTTCATCTTAAATTGAATTCAAATTCATAATATTGAGAATTCAAGTGCAACTATTACTTAATTTTCAAAGAATTTCTAACAGTGTACTACGAGTTTTAAATGTCGCGGGCTATTGGAATGAGAATTTGTTCATCCACTAAAGATCGATTATATACATCTAAATATGAATAACTAGTGCAAAAAATTAATTGTTCATTGTTCGTTTGCCCCGCGGACGCTTAAAATATTAAAAATAGCCCAGGGCCTCTACTTTTTGAGCTACAGAGGTTTTTTCTTCGAAACTTTTGAAAGGCTAGAACAGAGCGCTCGCATCGCGCGCGTATTGTTTTCCATGGGTGCTAGAATATCAAAACCTTACCATTTCTCATTTTCATTAATTTTTATCTCAATAATAATCCCAGAAAAATGAATGGTTTCAACAGAGCTCCTCACAATGAGAATTTAATTGTTGAATAATTTATTCGGAATCGTCATAATCCTCTTCATCTTTTTCGTTTCTCTTTTGCTTTTTCCGTTTTTTTATTTTTAGGGTGAATTGTGTACTATATACATATATACTATCCTCTGTATTTTTTTTTACAGAACGATATTAATTTTTTACAGTACAGAACAGTTTTTCTTTTTTTATTGTTAAAAAATTTACAGTATAAAACATCTATTCATACCATTTCATTAATTATTCTAGTAATACGCATTATATATACTATACATAGTATATATTATATAATATATACATATATACTATTGATATATAGTTTTTTATTTCAGTAAGAAATGAATTTCTCTTTTTTACAATTACTGTAAACAAAAGATTACAGTACATAAACAAGCAGGCGACCGACCCTATTCGACAGAAGACTTGTGACACCACACTGTTATGTCAAAAGTCTTCATTTTTCTGCTACCAATTACATTGGTTATAAGCTTCCGAAGGGAAGAAGTGCATCGTCTATTTTTTATTTTTATTATTTCAACCGTAGTATATAAAATCATNACATAGATATCATATTACATTATTTGCTAAGCCGAATAGAGGCTTCAAAAATCGTTACACTGTATTTTTTAAAAGTGGAATGTGTACAATAACAATTACGAGTTAGTTTTTTGAAAAATTACTCGAACATAGCCAATTTCATGTTTTTAAATAAAAAAATTGCACCATTTATGTAAAATAGCCCAAAAAATGTTTCCAAAACAATCGAGAATACATATTTAATCTTGAGCATAATTTTTTGCCCATTTTACATGAATGGATTCAAAAAACTAATTCGTAATTGTTATTGTACACATTTTTTCAAAAATTTAAAGAAAACCTCTGCAGCTCAAAATTCCAAGGTCCTGGACTATTTTTAACATTCTAAGCGTTTGCAGGGTAAACGAACAATAAACAATTTTCTTTGTACTAATTATTCGGTTTGAGACACATATAATCGATCTTCAATACATGAAAAATCCCACTCCAATCACCCGCGACTTAAAAAACTGATAGTAGTCCCCCCTCAACGGAAAAATTAGTCGTTTAGTGATAAAAACAGGGGGCTGTAGATTGGTATCTAATGGGGTACTGTCCCGTATCATGTTTTATATTTTTCGGGGTCTCATACCATGATGTACAAAGGAGAGCGACGGCGGTTGCGAAGGTAGCGACGCTGAGATGATCAGTAATGGTCGTCGTGAGCGTGATACTGAGGATGAAGACGAAGGAAGGGAAGAGAGGAGCTCGGAGGGTGGAGGTGGGGGAGGTTTCGGTGGTTGGAGGTCCCACCTACTTGGTGGTCTTACTCAGCGCGTCAAGTCCTGGTACTGGGGCGCCAGACCCCTCGTAAGTTCTACATTCAAGAACTTCCGCACCATTACGTTTTTCTTTTTCCTCAATTTTTTATTATTATTTTCGTGCGATTATATCATTAACACATTTTTTTTCAATTTTTATTATTCATAAAATTATCAATAACCTCACGGATTTTCCACGGTTCGCACGCTTCTGGAGAAAAAATCGGAACGGTTAAAGGAAAAATGCAAAAAATGAGAAAAATTATTTGAAATAATGAGAAACAATGATTAAGCATGATTCTGACCGATTATTGGACTTAGATAACACAATTCCTATTTTTTCAATCAATAATGCTCATCGTACTCGCTCTAGCTCTAGAGACTAGTCGATAGCCAAATTTGTACGTGTGTGTTTTATTTAATTTAAACTATTTAGATGTCTTGCACTATGATCTGTACATTACTTAGCCCAGTTATTCACCAACAGAAACTAGATGACTAAATTTTTGAAATCATAAACAGTTGCTTTCAAATCTTTAAATAGATTTTACTGATTCAATCAACATTTTACGTTTTTTTCAGATAATTAATTAACAATTTTTTATGTTTCATCAACTAGCACGAGTTTGTCAGTCATTGAATTTAGATGTCTTGGCATGCAAATATTCTCACAAATGAAAACTCCACATTCGACAAAATTTAGAGAAATTCAGTGAAACAACAAAAAAAAATCTTCGCGCAAAAGAATCTGTGAATTAGAGCCTGTAAAGAACGGAAGTGAAAATTATGAAAGTTGGATATCAAAATTAGTCGGGCATTGTGACAAGTGCGAACTTCCTAAGCCGATTCCACCTACTGGTGACTGTGATATTTTTTGTTTACTTTCGAATAAAAATTCTTCACTCTATGCATCACTTTAAGCACCGAGAGTCTGATGATTCTTCGCTGAATACTTCATGCCTGTTTATTCACATGAAGATAATGATTATTATTAAAAAATAGTAATATCAATATTAACGACACCACCACTCTCCGAGCACCAAAAACACCCCACCACCAAATCAGTCTATCAGCAAGCATGTCTTCAATATTTTACTAAATATTCTATCAACATCTGTCGCACATTTTTGGGCCATCTACGGTCCACCTTAGGTACAACTGTGTCTGCAAATAAAACATGTGTTAGATCTCATCTTTTCTCAATCAATAATCGAAGCATAATTGGAGAAATCGTAATAATGGAACTTTAACTCATGCCATTATTGCGATGAGGTGAATTTTGATTTTTTGGGTTTACTTATTGTGATTGGAATTCCAGGAGCTGGCTCATAAGCTCTCGAGGAGCTTCGACATGCAGGAAGCGCAATTGTTAGAGGACGGAACTAGCACTGGTGGTGCCACTGGTGCCTCCGGTGCTGGCGGCCCTCCCAGAAGACATCACAGCGCACAAAGACTGGCTAGGAGTGAAATATCGGAGAGGAGGGAGGAGGATGGAGCACTCGTTGTGCCTGATCACCAAGGGAATCTCAGGATTACAGTCAAGAAGACCAAGTCCATACTTGGGATTGCCATCGAAGGAGGAGCCAATACCAAACATCCTTTGCCTAGGATAATTAATATTCATGTGAGGATTTTTTTGAAACCCCTACTGTCAAAATATATCTTCGGAATTACAAAAAAAGTAATCAAAACACGGTCAATTTTGTTTTTTTAATTAAGGGGATACGTCGGTGAAATTTAAGTCTTCACTGGGCCTTGGTAATCATTAAACAGTTTGTGATATATGACGGAATATGGGAATAACTAGGGAAAATCGCTGACCCGATCGATTTTGCCCTGTATAACCACGAAGAACATTATTTTTTGCTGTTTTCACCTTCACAATGCTCCTTGCGTGGTAATTTTCATACGATTTTAGCTTTTTTTTAACCCTTGTCTGGTCATCAAACGCGACCCGGCGCAACTTGATCACCTCCGCGGGGATTCCCCGCCTTGTTATTTAGACTCTAGCGTTGCCGAATTCACTCCACACTGTCCGGGCGCGTTTAGCGGGTTTCCGGCAACGTCGCGTCATGGGCAATTCATTTAACATGGGAAAAAATAATTCATCTGTTCGAAATAATTTGTTTTCTTTAGAAATTTTGGGAAATATGTTGTTCGAATACTACTATAATTTCTTAGACACTTTGTTCGATGATGAACCTGAAAATTCACTGAACGTTTCAGATTTCTTCTCTTCGATTCCTATAAAAATTGCCGGAAAACGATTCCCCATTGCGGATTACACCAATTCATCCGTTATTTTTATTGAATATTTCTCTCCGTGTATATCAGTGAGCTGAATTGATAAAAGTCATTCATAATTTATAATACATACTGCTGTCATTTAGAAAAAAGAATATAACCTATATGCAGTAAAATCTATGTGAAATGCTTGCGTTTCCAAAATATCAATTGTTTGTCTTCAGTTTGTCTCGTGACCTCCCTATAGTAGACGTGTATACAGCGCACTATTCTTACGAAGCTATCGGTCTAAAATATCAAACAGATTTATATTTTGAAGCGGATTAATGCTTAATCAATAATAATCGTCTCTTTGTCAGTTTATGAGCGCAATTGTGATAATAAAATTTGAAGAATGAGAAAATTCCGTTACGTGTTTATTTTAAAAACTTTATGGCGGTATTCAGCAAGAGTATTATGTTTTATCAATGCTACTCTGTTTCGTCTTGAGTTATTTATTAAATTATCGAACTGGTGATTGCTTCACGGTGAGATCTCACAAAATCGCTAATAGAAAATTCCAAACTCGTTACATGCGGTTTGTTTATTAACAATAGTTTAGTTTATTCATCCAATATGTATGACCTCTCAGCCTTTTACATTTTTGCACCCCTCCCAAGAAAGTAGTTTTAGAAAAGATAAGGTTATTACTGGTAAAACGGAGAAATGGTGACGAAATAGTATATTACGATACAAGTGAAAAATAGGCGCTTTCGTCACAAGACCAGAAAAAACTATTCCGATGAGTGTGAGGTTTACAGACCGAGGCGAAGCCGAGGAATGCAATCACACGAGTCAGAAAAGTTGTTTTCGGCCGAGGGACGACCATAATTTTTCTTCACATTCCCTGTAAACGACGCTTGACGGACACGAAGTGACTTCAAGGAGAAAAATGGAAATGCATATCGACGAATTTGTATAGAATAAATCTCAATAGAATACCTTTTACATGAAAATCAAAATTCATTGTTGTGATTTGTCAAAACTTTTCATTGAATAGTAACTGCGCGAAGAACTGCGAAACGTTTCTGTGTAATATCACAAGAGCTTCAAAAATATAGGGTATTTCCCGATAGGTTCGTTGCAAACAAACGAAGAAGTCAATTTTTCCAGATTACAAAATCACAACTGCAAAGTACGAGTGATTTTTCCTGAAAACTTTGACAACTTCGTTTCCGTGCAGGAAATTTTGAGTGGAATACCCGACTCATTTTTAGGCTCAAGTGGTATTCAAGAGATGAATTTTTCCATCCAAATTTCTGACAAAAGAATTGCACCAGGGGTTCATTCAATTGCATGATCTTTTGTTTTTGTATCGCAACTACCAGAGAAAACTGAAGAAATATCTTTTGAAAACCAAAAGATGAAATTTTCCACATGTAATACGCTAATCGCTCACGAAAAAACATATGCAACTTTAAAAATGCAGCATAGATTATAGATTCTGAATATCAAAAATTGAAGACACCTTTTCATTTTTTCGTTTTTGTGCTTCTGGAAATCAAACAGATAATATACTGTAATGTACGGATGAATCCACACATCACAGTCATTGTTGACTGTTGGCAAATAATGAGATTGGTCCGTAAAATTTAAAATGCAAGATAAGAGCAGTCGCATGGTACGAGACGAGTTCAGTTGTTGTGAAACGACAGTTTGAATCTATATCCCCTGTCAGTGAAGATGTACGACTGTTTTAGTGATGATAACGTACGGCCAACGTAAATGGGCGTCCAGACCCATTGCCGAGAATCTTGAATACACGCACGAAACCGAGCCCATTTCAATATCGATGGCTTGAAATCAAATTATTATTTATCGATTTATCTCATCTATTTATTTATTTATTTAGTTATTAATCAATACCGTCCTTAAAGGGATATCACCCTGCGACATATTTTACTGCAAACACGTAACATGTAGCCAAAACAAGTGGGAAATGGCTCTTGTATTGCATATAGTATAGTTATTTTTGATAATAAATTAGCAATATGCTTCCGAATGGTTATTTTGAACATCATTTCCTTCTATCACTCATAATTCAGTAGCGAAGTGGTAAAACGGTTTAAGTCGACTTATCTCTCAGCTGAGTTTTTTAGAAATATTTCCGAATCTAAGGGAGACAACGAAATTTTTGTAATTACATTTGTAGTAGCACTCAATTAGCTCTGCAAAGAAGGTTATAACAAACATTTTGCAATCTCCCTTAGATTCCGCGATATGCATTGAAAATTGGTCAATAGTCAAAATTGACTTGCACCGTTTTACCACTTCGCTACTGAAGCTAATCATTAGCTTCGCTAATTCATTGTTTATTTAATTTTATTAGATAAAATGAACATATCCCGGGAAAAAAGGATATCCAAATAAATTTTTTAACCCATCATTCCATTAATTCTGAACATTTTTTTTAACTATCATGGGACAAACGATTTTTGAAAAAGCTCAAAAATTAAACAAACTAATCCATGAATTAAATTTTAATTAATGGCGATCGATAGGGGTTAACAGTAAGGAGTCAATCTATATTTAAAAAAAAAGATTCAATTCCCTGCATTCATTAGCGAACACTTGAAAAAAAACTTTGTTACAGGCGTACCCACGTACACACAGACGTACGGACGAGCTCTAAAAATTGCATTTACGGACTTTCTGGATCATATTGGGTCGATATAACACAAGCAATCCAGAACTTAAATTTGAACGATACGAAGCTTCCTTTCGGCAGCAAAAAAGTGGTTTTATAATAAGAGAAAATCTGTTGAAGACGGAATCATTTTCTTTCATTTTTTTTGCAAAATGATGAATTTAACTCGTGTTGCTGTGATTCAAAAAAGAGGTCACAAAATTTTAATAATGACTATAAAATTTAGTAAACTACAGGGATCCATATAATGAGATATTGATAATTTTTCTCCGCTTTGAAAAAGAAAATGTTTAAAGAATATTGAAGAGAAAACAACTTTAAATGTCAGCAAGTTGCATTTCTAATGAATATTTCATTTTAATAAAGGATAATGGAGCCGCTTACGAGGCCGGTGGTCTTGAAGTCGGTCAGCTCATCCTCGAGGTTGACGGGCACAAAGTCGAAGGTAAAAAATTCATGAATTCCTCTCGTAAAACAAAATCAATAAAAATTTGAAAGTTTAATATCCCCTGAAATATTCTTTTGTTAAGGATTACACCATCAGGAAGTAGCACGACTCATAGCTGAATCCTTCGCAAGACGTGATCGCAATGAGATTGAATTTCTTGTTGTTGAAGCAAAAAAGAGTAATCTAGAGCCAAAGCCAACGGCTCTTATATTCCTGGAGGCGTAGCAGGAATCTCCCACCTCCGAGCCGGAACCACCGTAAAACACCTTGTGAAAATCGTGAGATTCAACTCCCTTGCATCCATACATTTCTCCCTTCCCCCCCTGTTTATTCCCTTCATTCTTGGTGCTTAATCGAGACCTCAGGGCCATCGTGATCGAGGTACTGCGATGTTTAACTGCAGCCACAGGAAAAAAATCCTCCTAAACTTGAGAAATACAGTATAACACTGACGACAAAAGTTGATCAAAAAATTCAAAATGTTTTCCTCGACAATGAAACGTAAAATTGTGATATGTTTGATACATAATAATTCTAGAACGTTGCGAGATACCGCAATGTGGCATTGAAGAGGTCAACATTCATGATCATTTTTTATTTCAAATATGCATAAAAAATATGAGAAAAGGAAACAAAAATCATTTTGTAGAAAAAGAAACTAAAAACGACAGCGAAGAATTGTAAACTTGATACCTCGACCAATTGACCAATTAATAAACCCGTCATTCCTCATTTTTATACCCAACGAATTTCATAATCAATCCGGCGGATGGTGGGAAACTGAACAAAACCGGCTTAAATGGCCGAATGTACCTCAACGATGCGCTAAATGCAACGTGAAGGCGACACCGGTCATGTAAATCCCTCAGCAGGCATCTGAAAGTTGAATCTAAACAAGTATCTAAAGAACGACGAATACGACGAAAAACTGCATCAAAAAATTCCTGGTAATGATAACCGAGAAGAGTCGCCAATTGTGCCAAAAACACACTCGAGGATTTCTTTCATAAAGAAAGCGTAAAAAAAAACTAACAAATACACAAACACTTGTTCAAAGTTAAATTGAATGCTTGAAACGTACAGTGAAAACAAAATTGGGATAAATTAACTCCTAATTTCGAGTTTGAATGGAGGCGAGAAATTATAATGTAAAAAAAGGTGAAAAAAACAGTTTGAAAAAAAAATGTTGACTAATTCATTATCAAAGCAATCAAAGATGCGAGCTGGCCTCGACTGTCTACCAATTAGTAACCCCCTGTTTTGTTTTTCTCATTGCAAGATTTATGGCTCATTTTATATGTAAAGAAAACATTCGTTTAGTCGTGAAGGTGGAAAAAAATGAAAACAATTTATTGGTCGAGCCAACTCGAGTACTTTGACCTGATACCAATAGACTTATTTACTGGAATTGTTGAGGCTTAAAGATTATTATAAATAAGTGTATATATACTTGAAGTAAAGAAAAATATTAATTAATTATAATAGGATTGGACAATTATTAAAGCTTTTCAGCGTTGAAGACAAAATTCTGATCAATTGTGTATTGTAAAAAGTGGGAAGAGGAGGTCTAATCCATAAAATTGGAACGAGTTCAGACCTTCCGTGATCATAAAAACTGAAGAAATACATTTACGTTAACAGGAGAAGAAAATTCACGGTTATTGATTTTTATCATCCAACTAAAATTGAAAAAAATAATTATCCAACTGTTCTCGACATAAACCGTAATTCCTATAATTTCAATAGTTCTTTCTCAATGTGAGAACAACGGTACTGAGCACTACTTTGGCAGAGTGATTTTTAGGTAAACAAGAGCCACAAACTGTCGTTCACACTCAATGAGAATCATCACTGGCTCTGCACGACACACCCATTGCCGATCCAATTAGCAGACAGACGGTAATGTGCCAAAGTCATAAAAAAAAACAAAAGTTTAATATGGAAAAATTGAATAAAGCCGAAGTAGTCTAGTAGGTCGATAGAGCATGAAGCAATAATAAGACGAATAAAATTGGCCAGACAAACCAAGATTGAAATAAAATGAGGGAGACTAGGGCATGGGGTCACCATCAACCACACAAATAATATAATTTCATCACCAATTTCATTGATTTATGAGTAGTACGCACAAATCGCCTGGAATTCGCACCAACTTTACAAAAACTCAAATTGATAAATAATGATAACGAATATAACCCAGAGAATAAGAACAGGATCGTGAGCACTAACCGAAATGAAGTCTAACCGAAATGAATGAAAATGATAATAAATGAATATTTTTGTAAGCGGCTATATCAAAGACGCTCGCTCAGGCCAGACATTTCAGCTGACATATCCGACAATGCCTTACGCTTTATGTGTTGATGATAAACGTGCAAAAACTCCAAATTTTGGGATAAAATGTGTCTGCAGTAAATATTAATAATGACAATGTGAAAACGAAAATCCAAACACAAGCATATGAAAACCTGATTGCCAGATTAGAGAGATCAACGGATGAAAAATTTTTAGATCAACGTCAGTGAAAAATCTTCGCAAATAATGGAAAATTGATTCATTTATGATTAGATAATTTTGTAGATTATTTTAGAGAAATCCTCGGATGATGTTTCGTTGACTCGTACCTTGTTAGAGATTAGAACTAGGTGAATCCAACGAAAAAGTAGGAAAAATATTGTTTGTTCGTGAAAGTAGAGAAGCTTCACCTCCCCTTCCCAAAATGATTTCATTCAAATCATGTGAATGATGCATCCAAGAGTCCAGGTAATTAGAAAGTTTTGATGATGACGAAATGTGTTATCAGAGCGTCAATAACAAGTTCAATGATTCACTGAATATAAAATGGAGAAAATTCAAATATTTAAGTTGATAACGTTAAAACTGTGTATATAATATATAAATAAATTATACCTAAGCGCTCGTTCATACTGCATTTCATAGTCCGATCGGATATAAAGATAAATATACATAAATTTTTGCAGAGTTTAACGCGTTGATGACATAAGGAGAGTTTTTCGCCGAATTAACGTTTGTTTGTTTAATACGGTTATTTGTTTGTGCGCTGATTGATATTCATTAGATGGAATGTAAAAAGAAATCATGAAGAATATAAACGTGTAATTAAACTCCAGTTGTTTCGATTCATCCTTTTTCCACGAATTTATATCCGGTATAAGTCGTTCTTCGCGCCACTGTCAAGTGCAGAAGGATAAAGAAAAGAAGTTGGGCACAATGATAAGACAAGACGAACACAATTTGCTTATGATTAACGATCAATTCCTCGTAGCAGCATTGTGCATACAAAATGCTGCTAGTAAAAAGAGTGGGATTATGAATTACCTATAGAATACGTACGAAAGCTAGAAATGCTTTTTTCCAGATACTACACCGTTTGCAGTACACGGAGAGAAATTTTTTCGAAAAATTCTAGGGCTAACACGGGAAAAGAGGTGCAAAGTGACGGCCAGGAAAAAATTCCAGTGCCGACACTAGCAATTTTATTGGGGAAAACCCCGAGTCGAATAATTGGACCTGACAAATTCTACTTAGGTCTCTCCGTTCAGAACTGGATAGGTCTTGGGAAGCCTCTTCCCAAGTGCTTCCGAGACCTTTCTACCTCTGGTTATGTCCCACTTCAGCACTTGTTAGGTGTAAGCAGGACTTGCATTCAGACTTTCCAAATCCTTGCCGGTCCCCGTAATTCTATGGGCCTATATTAAATCTGCGTTCATATGCCTATTTACTCATGCGTTATTCAAATAAAAAATGCAATTATTGTTTTTTTTTTAATCTCGAAAATCGACATTTCACGGGAGGGTGGAG